CCCCAAAACCCCAAAACCCCAAAACCCCTTAAATTTTCTAAATTATTGAATATTAAATCTATTTCCTTGACATAAAACCTGAAATCAGTATAATTTTTTGACTAAATAGAAATGTTTCAAGTAAGGTTTACTTTATTCATCTGGATTACTAAACCAGTCGGTTTTTTTGAAAGAAAAAGATGCTAAATCAGGAGAGCTTTAGCAATGCTTAATAACTATATAGCTTGCAAATTTGGGTACTAACTATAAAATTATGGGAGAAGCAAGGTTTCTCCGGATACAAGAGCCATCTTACAGATATGAAATGAGAAGTGCGAGTCATTTAAAAGCAAAATCAACTGTAGCTAAATTCCTACAAGAGAGAGAAATGGGGAGGCTCTCTCTACCAAGAAATATGAATGAGAAGGCAGCTTCTTTGATATCAAAGAGATTAAGCATGAATGGACCAGATGTTGAACATATAGAGAACAGTAGTCTTGCTTCTCGCAGAGAATTTGCTGTCAAGCCAGTTATCACTATTGATTTTGAGTCTATGAACAGGCGAGATAATGACAGTGATTCAAATGAGGCTCTCACTCCAATGACGAAGATATCAAAATAAGGTGTTTTACTTCAGTTTACCTCATAGTTCTATAAAAATAAGAATAGAATAAATCCTCTGAATACTACAAAGTCAGTAAGGACTCTGAAAAAGCGGATGTACATTCACGAGAGCAAGAGACAGATCAAAAAGGAACTTGAACGTTTTGAGGAATATTGGAACAAAACAAATAAGTAATTGTAACTCGATAATTATAGAAATGGACCTACAGAAGAGAGGGATGAGAACGACAAACCTGAGGGCTTCTGTCAACCAAAAGTTAAGCTGATAAAACCTAAGATGAACATCATTAAAGAGAATCAGAAGAAATATGGAAAGTCTCCTCGAAAACCTAAGCTTCTTAATGACTTAGTTAGGGTAAGTCAAGCTATCCATATTTCGTGCATTTCCTTAAAAAACCTTTAACTAATTTTAAGATTCATACAAGAAGTTTACAATATTTCCACTATTGAAAGACTTAGAGCCTTTATGATAGCTTTATGGGCAAACACTGAGGTTTCATAATCGAGTAAACTTCATAGGACTTCAAGAGAGATAAAACCAAGAAGATAAAGAACATCGTTAAAACCAACAAAAAGCCATTAAGCTGGTATATTTATTAATCAATTATAGGACATCCAAGATTCTGAAGAAAACACAAAGAAATCTGACAGTACCTGCTTTGAAGAGTGACCAGTTAAGAACGAATAAAAAATGAATCAATACTGAAGTTCAACATCTCAAAGTTCCGATGGAGTCTCTCCAGATACAGAGTGAGACTTATACTGTGTAAGTCTTTATGAATTATAATAGTCCTCATAGCCAGCTTCCAAGTAATTAGTGAACACTAATTGATAGGAGAAAGCTTAATGACTCAAAATTCGATCAAGAAGTGGAGCATCACTCCTATGGGATGCTTCAAAAAGACCCATGAGGATAGAAATATAGAAATGGATTTAGTCGATAAGAAGAGAGCAGCCACTCAGAGGAATAGTATAGAGCGATTACCCACTAAACTCAACCTTGATGGTAAGAATAAAGAGATAATGTGAAGAAAGGGATGATGTGACTAATAACCAAAACTTATCAAAAACTATTTTAAGTTATGAGATGGCAGCAAAGAATAGAAATCAAAACCGTTCATGAAGCCTTAGCCAGCTTAGTAACAGAAATAAGAGTAGCTTTAATATGTAAAATTAATAGTGTTCAGAAATATTTCAGCAAATATTGAGAAAATAAAATTTGAATGAATGCTACATCAATATGAAGCAAATAAAGAATACAAACAGATATCTGCTGCTCGATCAGCTTGTATGTCATTCCTTTCTCCTTGAAACAACATCTTATTACTTTAGTGGAGTCAGGAAAAGATTGGGACATCAACAAGATGCCTAAAAAGTAAGTTCCTCCTCTCACCCAACAGAAAGCCCCGTAAACAAATCCAAAAAGACGATGAGTAACCTCCCCTCTCTAAAACTCTAGAATAATCTGGGACCTCATAGCCACCCCTGACAAATACGGCACTGGCGACGCTGTAAGCCCCCTCTCACCCCTAGAAAACCAACAAAATCTTCCTAAAAAACCGCATTATCACAAAATACAACAAAACCTTCAACCTCACCAAAAAATCCCGCATGCATCAAAAATCCCTGAACATAAAATTCTAGTACAAACTTTTCAATATTCCAAAATCTCCCAGGGGTTTTGGGGTTTTGGGGTTTTGGGGTTTTGGGG